AAAAACTGACCAGCCCCAGTTAATTTATTTATTTATTTATTTTTCAGTTAATTTATTTGACTTCATTCATTTACATAGTTTCTGGATTCGGACTCGGACTCGGTTTTTTTTTTTTTTTTTTTTTTTTTTGGGACAGGTCTGTATTTCAACACTTCATGATGGGTGTGGCAACTGAGCTAGGCCCGGGCCGAAGTCCCACTAGCAGCGTTGAGCTACCTCAACGCCTGAATCTGGACGTGTTTGTGGAGACGTGCAGTACAGGAAACTCAACACCATTTCTGCACATYTCCGCAAAAGCGTCCAGATTCAGGCGTTGAGGTAGCTCAACGCTGCTAGTGGGACTTGGCCCCCGCTGTTTTTCCCTCTTTTTTTCGCTTGAAATAAACCCAACGTTTTGTCCCTTTGTTTTTTTTTTTTGGTTGAAAATTCTGAGTTCTTTCCGTCATCCCTTTCTCCCACAATACGTCGCCTTGGTGTCGTCGAGAAGGAGGTGGAGTGAATCTACGCGCAATTAAGGCCGGATGCGTCTAAGAAGACGTATCAATGGACGCCAGTCTCTAGCGGTGGAGATAGGCATTTGGCTGTGGAGAGAGCACATTTGGCTATGGAGAGGAGAGAGCAGTTGTTTTTTGTTTTTTTTGTCTTGTTTTTTTTTTGGGGAAAAAAAGGGAGGATTCCTTTATTACAATAACGTCGAAACAACAAGGAGACCGGGAATCCTCACAAACCAACCCGGGAATCCTAAAAAAACTGCTCTCAAAGGTTGTGAGGAAAAAAAGGGAGGACTCCTTTGAGAGCAGTTTTTTTAAATGCGTTCCTAGAAACCGCCGCCGCCGCATTTGTTTGAAGTTTGAGTCTCGTTCAATCACTCGCCAACTGCAAAAATGGCGACTGTATTTTGCGCTAGAAGTTGGCAATATACATTCACCAATATGTAGCCGCCGCTCAACCCACATCCACGTGGGCGGCCTTGTACGCAAGAGGTTCTTTTTGAACAGGGGGAGTTATAAGGAAGAAGATAAAAAAATGAATTCATTTTTTTCTTTTTTTTTTCTTTTTTCCTTTTTGTTCGCATTTGCGCTCTGATACTCTTGTGACAATATAT